ACCTGTGTGTGGATTTGGCTCCAGTGTGGCCTTGGACTGGAGAAGATAAATGTCTAGGGAGGTAACAGGTGAACCAAGTTCACCAAGACTGAGGAATCCTTCAGTAAGCCAGGATGTCAGTCTGGAGCTACACCCTCTAGTTTGTCTCCAATCTTGAAGTTTTTATTGAAAACAATATGATTGGATATCATGCACTAATAACATGCTGGTCACATTTCTGCAGCTAGAGAACAAGCAGGGACTGCTAGGACTTTGAAAGGTGCATCGGTTATGGGAAGGAAATGTGTCTGGTGGAGACTGGATGCAACAGGAAAAGCCTGGGACCTTAGCAACTTCTGCCTTCACCAGACCCGGAAACTTGGAGACAAGCTCAAAAGGGGTGTGATCCCCAGTGTGCCGCTCCATTGGGGACATTTGGGCAAGATCTGACTTATAGGATAGTCTATGTATCAGAGAGAGACCAGGATCAATATTTCCCTATTAATCCAATGAACAGTTAGAGTCTGCCAGCCTCCTAAGGTTCACTGGAGATACTGACTTGTCCATTGGGGCTTGTGCTTGACCAAGCCGGGTTAACGGAGTTGGTGGGGATTCAAAGTTTCCCCAGTTTATACAATCAGGCTGAACAAGAAAACTATATGTCAAGACATCTCAGGATTTCCTAGACCTGTAAGAGAGGGAGAAGAGGAGGATATCCTTGAGGTATAAACAAGTAATTTTTGTGTTCACCAGTAAATAATTGCTTGATTTTTCTCCTCACTCATGCCTTACAATATAATTAACAGTGTACAGAGAACAGCAAATATTTTCTCAGCAAAGGGAATATTTATATGGTTTAAAAAAAATATTATGTTGCCAGTATTACTTGTCACTAGGGTGTGACCTGTTTTGTCTAATGAATCATCTAGGGGAGAGAAGGGCCATGTGGTGTCCTGTGAGAACAAAAATAGAGTACATTTGAACTTGACAGAGGCGTATGTGTGTGGTGTTGCGGGGGCTGAGGGTCTGTGCAGGCCAAACATCAGATTACATTGCTTTGGAAAAGGCAGCAAATTGTTGAGGCTCTGTAGGAGGAAGTTTGGAAGGGAGAGAGGATGAAGAGAGGATCTGAGGAATCTATGTTACCCTGGAAGGAACTTTTTTGGAGAAAAACAGATGTTTTAGAAGATATGTATGAAATTTTAATTATGATATTTGTGGGATTCATTACCCATGGAATTTGAAGTACAATTCACTTGACTCATTGTTGTGTCATGGTGTTGGTTCTGTCTTAAGAACAAAATGTGCCCTGAATCTGGCCTCAAGATGAGTGAAGGAAAAGATGAGGCTCTTTTGTGGATCACTACCTCTTCTGCAACATTTTTTATTTTAATATCACCAAATGCTATCTTCAAACCCTTAGAATCCACTGGGACTCCCGCTCTGAGATGACTTAGTAATTTTCACAGACTGTGAAACTCCAGGAAAGGTGCATAATTAAGGGAGTTGGAAAGGGAAAATCAAAAGCTTTGAAAGCCTTTTCAGTTAAGATACAACCAAGTCAAGAAAACCTATCACAAGTTGGCTTAAGTTGCATAGAAATGTGTTACCTCCATAACAAGAAGTCCAGAGGAATGGCCAACTGAGTTGGCCATGAGAGGTCCAGATAAGCTTCAATATTCTCTTGCCTCTTCCTTCTTCTTTGTTTTGGCACCATCCTTAGGCTGAGTGAGGGTAGCACAGCAATTTCACATATCACATCTCAACAGGACATATCTAGTCAACAAAGAGGGATGGCTTGTCTTAAGAATTGATAGAAACTCTCTTAGAAGCCCCTCAGTACAGATACTCTCATGTGTCATTGGCCAGGGTTGGTTCATAGTCCATTTCCCAAGGTGATTACATGCCAAGGGGAATGGAGTGAACATGAGTGATCTAGTAAAACTGAAATCATGGTGAGAACTTGGTCTTCCCATCAGACATTTCAGAACTTGGCCAAATTTAGAATTGTTTGATGAGCTTTTAAAACATAAGGATACCTAGGCTTTACTACAGTCAAACAAATGAGTATGTGTCTCAGCTTGAGATAAAAGCGTACACATAAATAAAGCCAAGCAATTGTCTTTGTTTTAGAGACAGTTGTCCTGTGTTATTGGTACAGGGACAGAATAAGAGCTGGAAAAGCCAAGAGGCCTCACCATGCACCAATCTGTTCAAAGGAGAAATGTACAGAGAATGAGTGTAGTATGATTTAACTTCAACTTAATTTCTTATTCAAGAATTTTAAAATGTAAACTTCTATGGGAACTGAAAGGATTAAAAGCAAAATCTTTGAAAACTGTTTAAGTTCTGATCTAATTGCTCTCTCCCAACACTTGCTTGACCCCACTCTATTCAGGCTTTTGCCTCCACTGTTCTATCTAAACTACTTTACCTGTTAAGGTCAATTGCCCAATGCAATGGTCCATTTCAGTCCTTATGTTACTTATCCTATCAGTAGCATTTGACCTTTCTCCTTGAAACAGTTCCTTCATTTTCCTTTGAAGACAGCAACCTTCTGCTTTCCATCTTACCTCATTATCCCGTCCTTCTCAGCCTCCTTTGCTGGTTCCTCTACTCTTCAAGAACTTCTTAATGATGGGATCTCTCGTGACTTTTCTGAAGCTGTCCACATTCACGCACTCATCTATTCTAAGCTCTGATCATCTGCCTTTGTGGCTTTAAAATGGCAGCTATATTCTGACAAATCCCAAATGTGTATCTTTGGTCTAGACCCCCTCTCTACATCTAGACTTGTCTTCCCCACTGTCTACACAACATCTTCACCAGGATACGTATCAAGATTAGCAAACATACATGTCTAAAATTAAACTCATCTTCTTCCCACAAAAATTGGCTCCTCCCACTTCATCTCCATCTCAGCAAATGGCAACTTCTTCCTTCCAGTTCCTTGTCTCAAAATTTCTGGAGTCAACTTTGAATCCTTTTTTCTTTTTACCATATATCCAATATTTTAGAAAGCCTTGTTGACTCTACTTTTAAAATATATACATATTCTAACAACTTCTGACCACCCTGGCTGCTCACACAATGATCCAAGTCAACATCACCTCTCATCTTAATTTTTGTAGACAGCCCTAACAAGCTTTCTTTTCCTTTCTTCTCTTCTCAACATATCATCCCTTCTAAATAATAATAACCCTAATAATTAATAACCCTTTGAAAACATGTCAGTTCATATAGCCACTCTGAAATTGTTCTCCATTTCTCTCAGAAAAAAAGCTCAAATGTTCTGAAAGCCTATATGACATAGGATTGCAGATCTAGACCTTATCTTCTACTACTATCTTCATCAGTGACTAATTTTTCTCCATATCCCTGTCAGGCATCATGAAGGATATAAGATTTTAACCTGACTTGAAAGCAAACAAATTAACTTGCCATGGTTTCATGGATTCTGGTTGAAGTCATCAAACTTGTGTGTCAAAGAAGGATAGTTTTCTACTTACAACAAAAGCTGTAGCCAAAGTAACATTTTTTTCAGCTTCATTGAAATATAGTTGACATGTGACACTTTGTAAGTTTAAGGTTTACAATGTGATTATTTGATACATGGATATATTGGGAAAATGCTTCCCACAATAAGGTTTGCTGTGCTAGGTCCTGAAGTCCTCAATTCTACAGGGTAAAGTGAGGGGGCCCACGCAACACCTGAACTTGCAGATTGACTTACAGGAAGAAAATATTGAATCTAGGGAACTCGGATTGATTACAGCAGGCACGGAGCATCCCTGCCCTTTCTCTGGAGGGAGATATATTCTTTATATTACTGGACAATAGGCATAACCTCCATTTCTTTGGAGGGAGCTACTATCTCTACATTCCAAGCCTGTTTGCTGTGAAAGTTTTTGAACAAATAGTGTAGAGTGCAGGACATTCAGTGCCTCCACTTATCAGACATACAGTGATGTAAGACTCTGCAGAATTATCCCGCAACTGGCACTTACCAATTTCTAACTGCTCAGTACTCCTTATTTCCTTCACCATCTTCTTCCTCCACTAGCAGTCAACTCTGGACACTTCTCATTCTAATTTAATTTCCTGTCTATTTTACTTACTGATAAGACACTATCTGGCACATAAAAGATGTTCAATAAAGATTTGCTGGGTGAATAAACAAATCGATGGGAAAATATACAAGAACTATTCAAAATGTCAAAAACAGGCAGGTGATAAAGAAATTAAATAAATTAATAAGATTTACTGCTTTACAACAAACAAAATACTGGAATTTTTAATAATATTTGATAGCTTTGGAAAATACTTATGTTAAGAAAAAATGTATACAATATATAGAGATTATTTCAATATTTAAAATAAACACACACATTCTATAGGAAAATCATGAAATAAAATGCAGAGAGAGTTCAAGAACTTTTAAATGAGCTAATGATAAGGGTCTTTTTGGTTATTTTTGGCTTGTTTGTTTTTGGTGAGGAAGTTTGGCCCTGAGCTAAGGTCTGTTGCCAATCTTCCCATTTTGCTTGAGGAAGATTTTCACTCAGCTAACATCTGTGCCAATCTTCTTCTATTTTGTACCTAGGATGCCACCTCAGCATGGCTGGTGAGTGGTAGGTAGGCCCACACCCATGATCCAAACCCATGACCCCAGGCCACTGAAGCGGAATGTGAACTTAACCACTATACCATTGGGCTGGCCCCTAACTACAAGTTATTTTTATTCTCTATCTTTTCCTTTTTATTTTCAAGCTTTCTATAATTTGTATGTATCATTTTAGTAATCAGGAAAAGCAGACATCTGTATATTGAAGTATTTATTTTTTCATAAAAAGAAAAAAGAAAGAAATGAACAAAAAGAAAGGCCAGCAGCCTGAAACTACAGACACTGCTTTGAGTCAGCTCTGTCAAGTTCAGAAATCCTCTCCAAACGCTTAGAAGTAGGAAATTCTGGTATAACTCTTGGTGGATAACTCACGGTCAATATTCTTCAGAATACGGATAATAAAGGTGATCAACAGCACTGAAAGAGAAGGAGAGATATTACTGTATTAAGTGTCTTCCCGATGTCAGAGACAGTTTCTCTGAGCATGTGGTCAAGATGGGCTGAAAAGTAAATTACACTGATGTCCCTCCTTCTAACCATATACACATACATGCAGGCTCCCTGATCATGTGCAAACATTACCTGCATGCCAAATTCCTATGATTCCATATAATATAAACACCAAAGGGGCATGTAGCTTAATTGAGACTACAATTTACATTTATAAGTAAATGTAATAAGAACTACGGCTAAAATGTTGCTGTAACTTTTGTCCCTAGCCAGTGAGAATGAACACAGCAAGGATTTTCCTGCTTTCTTTCATGCATCCATTCAACAAATATACACTGAGAGCCCTCAACAATTGAGAGTCCCTCCATTAAGGAACTTCTAATCTATTGAGGAGATAACATTTACACCTACATAACCATACCTACAAAATGGGATTATGGTTTTCTGAATTTATAATTTATGAGAATACTTGTTATTCAATAATTAGTATTACTGTTATTTTCTTTTTTTTCCATATTCTTATTTGCCTTTTCAAGTTTGTGCTTTTCAATTCAATTTCCCTGAAGAGTGCATTCTGAGCAATTCTATGGGCCAGGAGCTGTACTGTTGACATACGACCACAAAGATGAGTGAGACTAGATTTTCACAGCCTAATGAAGGAGATTGATCACACACTTACACTTAAATGCCTTTGGGAATAGAAAGATTACTTTTCTGGAATCATGATATAGTTTCCCAAACAAGAAGGAGAATTTTGAGATCTTTCTTTTGGAACTAAATCTTTATTCTATAACTAAAACTTTATTCCCCTTATTTCTAAACTCTCTTTGAAATTTCTCAGTTTGATTAGTCTTCTCTCTCTTCATCCTGAGATGCTCCTGCAGGACCTGCACAACTGGAATACTATGTTTGTGAACAAGTCAAGGTCAAAGGAGGTGGAGGCTCCCAGGGGATAGTCTCCTGATGGACAAAGGCCACCCTGCAGTAAGCCTTGACTCAAGAAGCATAGCGATCCAGAGGATCTTTTCTTGTATGCTGCTGGGGATACATCAGTCACTAACATTAGGGTCAACTGAGTTCATGATAAATTTATAATTCAGTTTGGTAAGACTACATAGCTGAGGAAATGAGAGTTGTGATAGACAAAAAAAGGCCACTGAGGAGATAAATTTGGAAGAAACGGATGGTGTCTGGGAACAGTAATGCCATTAACAAGAAATGTCACTGTACACTTAGGAGAGGAAGTGGAAGCAGGGCCATAGTATGACTTGCACAGCACCTACACACATTTCCCTTCCTTGGCCCATTCCTCCCCCACCAAAAAAAAGGTAATGTTACATTTTATTTTTTTATTAGGAAAAAATGAATAGAATCCAGGTTGAATTCATTATTATATAGTAATTATTAATATAAATATTGTTTATTTTGATTTTAAGAAGTATTAAAGATGAAACATTTTATAAGCCCCTAAATGTTGGTGGGTCATAGGCATCGTGCTTTCAGTTTCGAAAAGATAATTCAGTCCTGTATGAAAGCTCACCATATACAAAGACTAGGTGCATAAAAGTAGTGAATTCTTCATGATGCAAACAAACTCTGGCAGTTTAACTTATGGTGTGTACTGGGACCCGTTCAAGTTTCTGTTGGATCAGAGACTGAGTCCTGGAGTGACCTCTGGTCTGCGGTCTACAGAAAGCACCTGTTTTACTCCTACACCACAAATAAGGCCTGTCTTCCTGATTTAGGGAAGTTTAGTTCCTCTGCTAACTTCCATGCTACAGAAAACATACTGTGAAAAACAATCTATAGATCACCTACAAAAGCAATTTTTCATATCGGAAATTTCTGTTGAGACCATCAATTGCTTTCATGTCTTCTGGAGTCAATTCAAAGTCAAAAACCTGAAATGAAAGAGAGAATCACATTAAACTTTCCCCCAATGCAGTTGGCTTCTACCTGGGAAGTTGAGGACCTTCCAGCCAGACAGAGGCAAGGAGAGGGTCTGGGCAATCCTTCTCTGTCATCAGCCTCCAAGTGTACTGGCCTAAGAACTCTACTTTCTGGGTTCTATTCCTCTCCCTGCCCACTCCCACTCCTTTTCTATCCAATTTACACAAAAAAGTCTCACAGCTGATCAATCCCATTCTTTCCTTTGAATTTATTATTGGAGAAGAGGAAAAAAATCCCCTTTGTACAAACAAAGGGACAGTAGGACAATCTGGACAAAATACCTGCTGACTTGACCCAAATTTATTCAGATTTTTCCTTCCCCACCAGCCTCCAGAATTTTACAGCCTTTAACTTATGCAAGCATTGGCAGGAAGAGTAGCTGCATGTGAAGGCTTCTCCATGAATCTACCATCCTCTTGAAAAAGTATTCCCTGATCAACTGTCCAATCACATCACCAGCTTACGCCAACTACCAAACATGTTTCTCTTTCTAGGAGTCTTTACTCTTCCCTAGAACAGAAAAGTTTGATTGATCTTTGAGACACTTATAGATCTTACATTCAGAGAGTTGTCCCTTTTGAATAAAGTCTCTCTTATTTAAGTCCAGATTTGTTTTTAATTGAGGGTACATAGCACCTAATGGAGAGTCCGTTAGCAGCAGAGCAGACAGATCTTTGGTAAGAAATATTAAAGTGGGAAGCTCATTATTTCATACAGGGGACAATTTCATGGAAAACTCAGTGCCTTATTTTTCTGTCATCTACCTATCCATCTGTCACTCCTATTAAAACATACTCCAGAAGCGATTTGGTTGATGTGGGGATATGTATTAACATGATGAGTTGAATTGAAAATTAGAAGGGATATTTCTCCTGATTGATTTAACAATGAGATTTAAAATTCTCTATTTGATATTTCCATAAGTTGAATGAACTAAATCTAGAGCTTCAGGTTTTGGATCATATACATTATCAATAATGTGCTCCAAATCTCTTCTTTTGCAAATATTAAACTCATGATGACATTTCTTGTGGTTATCTTAAACTGGGGCAGAGTTTAAGAAGTTTTTCACAATTCTCATGAGTTTCACAACAAAATAGTTTGAAGACCACTGATATATTTAAGGCACGAGTAGATATATGAGGCAGAATTTAGGGAACAACTTTATTCTTTTGTTTGTTAACTTGGTCAGTCTGTAAACTGATATCTAGCTTCTGACCTTCCAGGAGCTCTGCTGGGGAAAAGGTGTTAAAACATTACCTAGAGGAAATCACTAAATTTAGGGTCTCACAGTCTACAGAGCACAGTGACACATAAAGAAACAATTTTAATTTAATAAGGAAAACTTACTAACTGAACCATGCCTAGAGCTATGGTGGTCAACAACTGTGCTGGGGTATCCCAAAGGTTTAACAAAGAAGCTAATGTTATTTGGTTTAATATTTAATATTGACTTACAAATAGGTGTTCATCAGGTAGAAAAGGTGAAGAAGAGGAACCAGGTTTTTAAAAGTTCCTCTGCATAGTGGTGACATCATCTTCATGGAGGAGTGAGCTCTCCCTGTAAACTCTCCCCTCTAAGACACAGTGACAAGGACATTCATATTCCAACAGAGAACATCCGCAAATACAAAAGACATCTGAGAGAACCATGCAGCCACACGTTGGAAGGTGGATATACTGAAGCCCCTACAAAGGAAGCGGAATGAGGTAAGAGAAAGCTTCTCTTTCTCTCAGGAGGGCAGCACTCAAGGACTGCACACTGCCCCTGAGATGAAAGGAGAGAGGTAGCAGCAGCCCTCTGTGGGAACACCACAGATCTCTGAGGTCCCTCACAGTCCAGAGGAAAGCCCCTCACAGAGATGATTAGCTATATTGGGGGCGTCTTCAAGCCAACACTCCAAGAGAGAAGATAGCAAAGGCAGAGTGAAAAGAATCCAAGATGGTACAGGAGAAAGAAATTGCCACTCCCCTCCACTTGGTACCCCAGCCCAGCACCTGGGAGCTGTCCTGTGGATCACAGTAGGCTCAGAATACACAGCTATTGACCTATACCCAGTGACCACAGGTGGAAGCAGTGATCAAAGACTACCACAATGTGAAAGCACAAATCCACACCATCTGGCAGTATGAAAAAAATATATATTAAATCTCCATACCAGAACGAAGATGACACATACCCAGAAATCAATCCTGAAGATATAGAAATCTATAAAGTAAATGACAGAGAATTCAAAATAGCTATTATTCAAAAACTCAATGAGTTTAAAGAAAATGCAGATAGCTCAATGATTTTATGAGCTATTTCACAAAAAAGATTGAAACTGTAATGAAGAACCAATCAGAAATATTGGAGATGATAAACACAATGGATGAGATAAAGCAGAATATGAATTCCCTGAACAATAAGGCTGATGACATGGAGGAACAAATCACCAATACTGAGGACAGAAATATAGAAATGCTTATGACAGAGGAGGAGAGAGAACTAAGACTAAAATGTAATGAAGAAAGTCTCTGAGAAATACCTGATTCAATTATGAAATGCAACATAAGAATTATAGGCATTCAAGAGGGAGAAGAGAAAGAGAATGGAGCAGAAAGCTTGTTCAAAGAAATGATAGTGGAGAACTTCCCAAACTGGGGAAGAAGATGGAAATCCACATGAAAAAGTCCATCATAACTCCTAACCATGGCAATGTAAAAAGACCTAATGCAAGACATATAGTTGTGAACCTAGCAAAAGTCAATGACAAAGAAAAAATACTAATAACAGCAAGTCAGAAGAAAATAACTTATAACGTATCCCCTATCAGTCTTTCAGCAGATTTCTCAGCACAAACCTTACAGGCAAGGAGAAAGTGGAATGATATATTCAAATATTTGACAGAAAAAACATTTCAGCAAAGAATACTCTCCAGCAAAAATATCCTTAAGATATGATACAGTGCTCGCTTCGGCAGCACATATACTAAAATTGGAACGATACAGAGAAGATTAGCATGGCCCCTGCGCAAGGATGACACGCAAATTCGTGAAGCGTTCCATATTTTTATTCCTGAAAAATCCAAAAAAGGAAAGGGGCTACAAAACCAAGAGCAGAGGAGATAAGTAGAAGGACAACAACAGAGAGTAGCAGCTCTACATCAGAACAGATTAAACCATGGGACGAGAAACAAAGGAAACTGAAGAAAACCGGAAAACAAGACACAAAATGGTAGTGGTAGGCCCCCACGTCTCAATAATCACTCTAAATGTAAATGGATTGAACTCCCCAATCAAAAGACACAGAGTGGCAGGATGGATCAAAGAACAAGATCCAACAATATGCTGCCTCCAGGAAACACACCTCAGCCCCAAAGACAAACACAGACTCAGAGTGAAGGGATGGAGAACAATACTCCAAGCTAATAATGAACAAAAGAAAGCAGGTGTCACTATACTAATATCAGACAAGGTAGATTTCAAAGCAAAACAGATAAAGAAAGATAAAGAGGGACAGTATATAATGATAAAAGGGACTCTCCACCAAGAAGACATAACACTTATAAATATATACGCACCCAACACAGGAGCACCAAAATTTGTAAAGCAACTCTTAATAGAACTAAAAGAAGACATCAACAACAATACAATAATAGTAGGGGACCTCAACACACCATTAACACCAATGGACAGAACATCCAGACAGAAAATCAACAAGGAAATAATAGAATTAAATGAAAAATTAGACCAGATGGACTTAATAGATATATATAGAACACTTCATCCAAAAACAGCAGGTTACACATTCTTCTCAAGTGCACATGGAACATTCTCAAGGATTGACCATATTTTGGGAACCAAAGCAAACGATCAATAAATACAAGAGAGTTGAAATAATATCAAGCATCTTTTCTGATCATAACGCTATTAAACTAGAAATCAACTACAAGAAAAAAGCAGAGAAAGGTGCAAAAATGTGGAGACTAAACAACACGCTTCTCAACAAACAATGGATCATTGAAGAAATTAAAGAAGAAATCAAATATTATCTGGAGACAAATGAAAATGAGAACACGACATACCAAATCATTTGGGATGCAGCAAAAGCAGTCCTAAGAGGGAAATTCATCGCAATACAGGCTCACCTCACTAAACAAGAAAAAGCTCACGTAAGCAACCTCAAACGACACCTAACAGAACTAGAAAAAGAAGAACAAACAAAGCCCAGAGTCAGTAGAAGGAGGGAAATAATAAAAATAAGAGCAGAAATAAACGATATTGAAACAAAAAAGACAATAGAAAGGATCAATGAAACAAAGAGTTGGTTCTTCGAAAGAATTAACAAAATTGACAAACCCCTAGCCAGACTCACCAAGAAAAGAAGAGAGAAATCGCAAATTAATAAAATCAGGAATGACAGAGGAGAAATCACAACAGATACCAATGAAATACAAGAGATCATAAGAGAATACTATGAAAAACTATATGCCAACAAATTGAACAACCTGGAAGAAATGGACAAATTCCTAGACTCCTACAATCTCCCCAAACTGAATCAGGAAGAAATGGAGAATCTGAATAGACCAATCACAAGTAAGGAAATAGAAACGGTAATCAAAAACCTCCCCAAAAACAAGAGTCCAGGACCAGACGGCTTCTCTGGAGAATTCTACCAAACATTCAAAGAAGACTTAATACCTATTCTCCTCAAACTGTTCCAGAAAATTGAGAAAGATGGAGAACTCCCTAACACATTCTATGAAGCCAACATCACTCTGATCCCCAAACCTGACAAGGACAACACAAAGAAGGAGAACTACAGGCCGATATCACTGATGAACATAGATGCAAAAATCCTCAACAAAATTTTGGCAAACCGATTACAGCAATACATCAAAAAGATTATACACCATGATCAAGTGGGATTTATACCAGGGACACAGGGATGGTTCAACATCCGCAAGTCAATCAACGTGATACACTACATCAACAAAATGAAAAACAAAAACCACATGATCATCTCAATAGATGCAGAGAAAGCATTCGACAAGATCCAACACCCATTTATGATAAAAACCCTCAGTAAAATGGGTATAGAAGGAAAGTACCTCAACATAATAAAGGCCATATATGATAGACCCACAGCCAACATCATACTCAATGGACAAAAGCTGAAAGCCATCCCTCTGAGGACAGGAACAAGACAAGGGTGCCCACTTTCACCACTCCTATTCAACATAGTACTGGAGGTGCTGGCCAGAGCAATTCGGCAGGAAAAAAGAAAGAAAAAGGAATCCAAATAGGTAACGAAGAAGTAAAACTCTCGTTGTTTGCAGACGACATGATCTTATACATAGAAAACCCCAAAGAATCCACAGAAAAACTATTAGAAATAATCAACAACTACAGCAAAGTAGCAGGGTATAAAATTAACGTGCATAAATCAGTAGCATTTCTATACACTAACAATAAACTAACAGAAAAAGAACTCAAGAACTCTATCCCATTCACAATCGCAACGAAAAGAATAAAATACCTTGGGATAAACTTAACCAAGGAAGTGAAGGATCTATACAATGAAAACTACAAGACTTTCTTGAAAGAAATAGGCGATGACATAAAGAGATGGAAAACATTCCTTGCACATGGATTGGAAGAATAAACATAGTTAAAATGTCCATACTACCTAAAGCAATATACAGATTCAATGCTATCCCAATCAGAATCCCAAGAACATTCTTCACAGAAATTGAACAAACAATCCTAAAATTCATATGGGGCAACAAAAGACCGCGAATTGCTAAAGCAATCCTGAGCAAGAAAAACAAAGCCGGCGGAATCACAATCCCCGATTTCAAAACATACTACAAAGCTACAGTGATCAAAACAGCATGGTACTGGTACAAAAACAGGTCCACAGATCAATGGAACAGAATTGAAAGCCCAGAGATAAAACCACACATCTATGGACAGCTAATCTTCGACAAAGGAGCAGAGGGCCTACAATGGAGAAAAGAAAGTCTCTTCAACAAATGGTGCTGGGAAAACTGGACAGCCACATGCAAAAGATTGAAAATTGACCATTCTTTTTCACCACACACCAAAATAAACTCAAAATGGATCAAAGACCTAAAGATTAGGCCTGAGACAATAAGTCTTTTGGAAGAGAATATAGGCAGTACACTCTTTGACATCAGTTTCAAAAGAATCTTTTCGGACACTGTAACTCCTCAGTTGAGGGAAACAATAGAAAGAATAAACAAATGGGACTTCATCAGACTAAAGAGCTTCTTCAAGGCAAGGGAAAACAGGATTGAAACAAAAAAACAGCTCACTAATTGGGAAAAAATATTTACAAGCCACTTATCCGACAAAGGGTTAATCTCCATAATATACAAAGAACTCACACTGCTTAACAACAAAAAAACAAACAACCCGATCAAAAAATGGGCAGAGGACATGAACAGACATTTCTCAAAAGAAGATATGAATATGGCCAATAGACACATGAAAAGATGTTCATCATCGCTAATCATCAGGGAAATGCAAATCAAAACTACACTAAGATATCACCTTACCCCCGTTAGATTGGCAAAAACATCCAAAACCAAGAACGACAAATGTTGGAGAGGTTGTGGAGAAAGAGGAACCCTCATACACTGTTGGTGGGAATGCAAACTGGTACAGCCACTATGGAAAACAGTATGGAGATTTCTCAAAAAGTTAAAAATAGAAATACCCTATGACCCAGCCATCCCATTACTGGGTATCTATCCTAAGAACCTGATAACAGATATCTCAAGAGTCCGTTGCACCCCTATGTTCATCGCAGCATTATTTACAATAGCCAAGACGTGGAACCAGCCTACATGCCCAGAAACTGATGACTGGATAAAGAAGATGTGGTATATATACACAATGGAATACTACTCAGCCATAAAAAAAGACAAAATTGGCCCATTCACAACAACGTGGATGGACCTCGAGGGCATTATGTTAAGCGAAATAAGTCAGTCAGAGAAAGACGATCTCTATATGACTCCACTCATAGGTGGAAATTAGTATATTGAGAAGGAGATCTGATCGGTGGTTACCAGGGCAAAGGGGGGGGGGGGGGAGGGTACGAAGGGGGAAGTGGTGTACCCACAACATGACTAACAAAAATGTACAACTGAAATCTCACAAGCTGGTAATCTATCATAACATTAATAAAAAAAAAAAATAATAAAATAAAATAAAATAAAATAAAATAAAATAAAAGATATGATACAGAAATAAAAACTTTCCCAGAGGCTGGCGCAGTAGTGCAGCGGTTAAGTCTGCACGTTCTACTTCAGTGACCTGGGGTTTGCTGGTTTGGATCTCAGGTGTGGACCTACGCACCACTTGTCAAACCATGCTGTGGCAGGCGTCCTACATATAAAGTAGAGGAAGATGGGCATGGATGTTAGTCCAGGGCCAGTCTTCCTCAGCAAAAACAGGAGGATTGGTGGCAGATGTTTGCTCATGGTTAATCTTCCTCAAAAAATAAAGAAAAAGGAAAAACCCTTTCCCAAATATGCCATCTCAAACTACACCTAAACTGAATTAGAAAAGGAGAACAAAGAAAGTCAAAAGTCAACAGAAAGAGGTAAACACAAATCAGAGCTGAAATAAATGCAATTGAAACAAAAAATACAGTAGAAAGAATCAAGGAAGGAAAGAACTGGCTCTTTAAGAAGATACACAAAATTGACAAATCCCTAGCCAGGCTTACAAAGAAAAAAAGAGAGAAACTTCAGATAACCACAATTAGAAATGAAAGAGGAGAAATTATAAGGGATACCACAGAAATACGAATTCTTATAAGAGAATACTACAAAAAGTTATACGCCAACAAATTGGAAATCTAGAAGTGGATAAATTCTTAGACTCTTAGAATCTGCCAATGCTGAATCAAGAAGCCATAGGTAATCGAATAGACCAATCACAAGAAAAGAGATTGAAACAGTAATTATAAACCTCTCAAAAAATAAAAGTTCAGGACCAGACAGCTTCCCCAACTAAATCTACCAAACATGCAAAAAAGATTTAATACTCATCCCTCTCAAAATATTCCAAAAAATTAGGGAAGACAGAACACTTCCTAACACATTCTACAAGGCCAACATTACCCTGACAACAAAGTCTGACAAGTACAACACAGAAAAGGAAAAGTACAGGCCAATATCTCTGATGAACATAGATGCAGAAATCCTCAACAAAATACTGGCAACCAAAATATGGCAAGACCAAAAAAAATCATAAACCATGATCAAGTGGGATTTATACTAGGAACACAGAGGTGGTTCCAAATCTGCAAATCAATCAATGTGATATACCACATTAACAAAATGAGGAATAAAAACCACATGATCATGTCAGTAGATGCAGAGAAAGAATTTGACAATATCCAGCAGAGATTCACAATAAAAACTCCTAACAAAATGAGGTTAGAAGGAAATTACTTCAACATAATAAAGGCCATATATGACAAACCTACAGACAACATCATACTGAATGAGGAAAAACTGAAAGCCATCCCTCTGAGAACAAGAACAAGACAAGAGAGCCCCTTCTAACCACTATTATTGAACATTGTACTGGAAGTGTTGACCAGAGAAGTTAGGCAAGCAAAAGGTACAAAAAGAATTAAAGTAGGAAATGAATGAAGAAGTGAAACTCTCACTGTTTGCAGATGACATGATCTTATATATAGAAAACCCTAAAGAATCCGTTGGAAAACTATTAGAAATAATTAAGAACTACAGTAAATTTGCAGGGTACAAAATCAACTTACAAAAATTATTTGCATTTCTACATTCAATAACAAAGTAACAAAAAGAAAACTTAGGGATACAATCCCATTTACAATCACAACAGAAAGAAAAAAAAAAAGCTAGGAAGAAATTTAACCAAGGAGGTGAAAGACTTATACGATGAAAATTATAAGAAATTATTGAAAGAAATTGTTGACGACATAGAGAAATGGAAAGATATTCCATGAACATGGATCAGAAGAATAAACATAGTTAAAATGTCTATCTTACCCAAAGTAATCTACGGATTCAATGTAATCCCAATCAGAATCCCAATGACATTCTTCATGGAAATCGAACAAAGAATCCTAAAATTTGTATAGGGCAACAAAAGACCCTGAATAGTAAAGCATTCCCAAGAAAAAAGAACAAAGCTGGAGGCATCACATTCCCTGACTTCAAAATGTACTACAAATCAATAGTAATCAAAACAGCATGGCACTGGTACAAAAAGAGGTACACAGATCAAAGGAACAAAAATGAAAGCCCAGAAATAAAACCACACATCTACATACAACTAATCTTTGACAAAGGTGCTAAGAAGATACCATAGAGAAAAGATAGTCTCTTCAATAAATGGTGCTGGGAAAACTGGACAGCCACATGCAAAAGACTGAAAGTAGACCATTATCTTACATCATACACAAAAGTAAACTCAAAGTGAATCAAAGACTTGAAGGTAAGACCTGAAACCATAAAACTCCCGGAAGTAAACATAGGTAGTACACTCTTTGACATGTACCTTAAAAGGAACTTTTTGAATACCATGTCTTCTCGGATAAGAGAAACAAAAGGAAAAATAAACAAGTGGGACTTCATCAGACTAAAGAGCTTCTGAAAGGCAAATGAAACCAGGATCAAAACAAAAAGACAATCCATCAATTGGGAGGAAATATTTGCAAATTATATATCCAACAAGGGGTTAATCTTCAGGGTATACAAAGAATTCACACAACTGAACAAGAAAAAAGTAAACAACTCAATCAAAAAGTGGGCAGAGGATATGAACAGACATTTCTCCAAAGAAGATATACAGATGGCCAATAGACACATGAAAAGATGTTCAACATCATTAATCAGCAGGGAAATGCAAATCAAAAACTACACTAAGATATCATCTTACACCCATTAAAATGGCTATAGTCACAAAGAAAAAGAACAACAAAAGTTGGAGAGGTTGTGGAGAAAAGGGTGCCCTCCAGACACTGCTGGTGGGAATGCAAACTGGTACAGCCAAAATGGAAAACAGTGTGGTAATTTCTCAAAAAACAAAAAATAGAAATACCATATGACCCAGTCTTCCTACTCCTGGGTATCTAGCCAAAGAGCCTGAAAACAGCAATTCAAAGTGCCTCATGCACCCCTATGTTCATTGCAGCATTATTCACAATAGCCAAGATCAGGGAATCAACCCGAGTGCCCATTGACTGATGATTTGATAAAGAAGATGTGGTGTATATGTATATATAATGGAATACTACTCAGCATAAAAAAGGAAAAAATGCCCCATTCACAACAAAATAGATGGACCTGGAGGGTATTATGTTAAGCAAAATAAGTCAGACAGAGAAAGACAAACATCATATGATTTCACTCATATGTGGAAGATAAACAAACATACAGAGAAAGAGAACAATTCAGTGGTTACCAGGGGAAGGGGCTTGGGGGGTGGGCACAGGAGGTGAAGGGAAGCACTTATATGGGGACAGACAGGTAATGTACAACTTAAATTTCACAATGTTGTTAGCTATTATGAACCCAATTAAAAAAAAAGTTACTGTGCAGAAAGGGACTCCTACAACTGAGAAAAAATCAGAGATGAAATGTGCTCAGTGTCACACAACTAGGAAGCAGCAAAGCTAGGTCTAGAAGTCATAAAACTTAGGACTCTGAAGCCAGTGCTCTCTCATCCCACCCTTCCAAGATGCCCCATTAAAACACTGGGACAGAGGCATGGGATTGAAAGAACATTGGTGGATGCTTAAAGACAAGAGACATGGCCCCCAACAAAATACCCTGTCCTCCCTCCCTTGAGAGTGTCCAGCCTGTACCTGGAAGTTCTCTTGGATTCTCTTCTCATTGAAGCTCTTGGCCAGGACCACCACACCACGTTGTAGCTGGTAGCGCAGAGCAATCTGGCCTGGACTTCGATTGTGTTTCTTGGCAATAGCATTCAAGATTGGATCCTCCAGGAGATATGGACTATCTCTTTCCACCCTGAAAACAAAAATCATGAAACACAGACAGGTGTAGGACTGAAAATCTAGAGTATCCTTTCCCCCAAATTCCTCAGATAATTGAGTGATGAAGGTAAAATATAGTATGATTAAAAAAGAGTTTTAAGTATATGCACAGAAATTCACTCATAAATGTACCAAACTGGAAACAACTAATATTTCCATCAATGAGTGAATGGAGAAAAAACTTGTGGTACTTGTGTTCATGCAATGGAATATTCCTCAGCAGGAAAAAGGGATGAACTAGATACTTGCAACAGCATGGATAGATCTCAAGATGTTATTCTCAGCCAAAGGAGCTGGATAGCAGAGAGTATACACGCTATGACTTCTTTTATAAATGAAGTACTAAAACACACTAAACTTATTTAAGTTGAAAAAAGAAATCAAAAATATGGTTGCCTTGAGGGGAGGAAGAATTGTCTGGAAATGAATACAGAAGAAATTTGTCAGGAGTTAGGTTCTGTATCACGATAGGGGCCGGGTTATACAGTACATCCATTTATCAAAAGTGGAAAGCTGAGATAGGCATTATGAGTTGCATAAAATTTGCCATCAAATTACATTAAAAAATAATATTGAGTGAGGTTTTGAGTAGGTGGACATAAAAGGAAACAAGGATGAAAGAATGTTGGTGATGACTGAAGTCCAGAGATGGTACCTGGGTATTATTATACAATTTTTTTTATAGAGGTAACATTGGCTTAAAATAATATATAAATTTCAGGTGTACGTCACTATATTTCATTTTCTGTGCAGACTACATCATATTCACCACCCAAAGACTGTTTACCATCCATCACCTTACCTTAGAAATATGCCCTGTCACCCCTTTCTCCTTCTCCCTCCCGCCTCCCCATCTGATAACCACCAATCTAATCAGTATATCTATGTTTGTTTGTTGGTGCTGTTGTTTTTATCTTCTACTAATGAGTGAGATCATACAGTACTTGACTTTCTCCATCTGACTTTTTTGCTTGGTGCAATGAGCACAATTTCCATCCACATTGTTGCAAATGGCAAGATTTCATCTTTTTATGGCTGAGTAGTATTCCATTGTGTATATATAACACATCTTCTTTATCTATTCATCTGTTGATGACTTTATTCTGTTCACTTTTCTATGCTTGAACCTTTCCATAATTAAATGTTAAAACTTGAATAAAATGTTTCTTCATCAATAGAGTTGCTGGCATAGGTTAACTCTAGTGTTCTTATTACCAGTTTGGGTCTCTATGGGACCCCAGGGCACTGTAGGCAACTAGAACAATGTCCTGGGACTTGCAGAACTCCAGCAGTTTGCTCTGGTTGAGGTAAGGGTGGCATTCCACCTGTAAGTTGCCAAGAACAAAAAGTATCAGAATATATGAATCAACAACCTGTAAATTTGAAAAGTCCTTTGAAGAAATATCTAATACCACAGCAATATATGTATTGTATTATTCAGACTGGTACATTTTTCCCATGCACCTTCTGAAATACCTTCAAATGCTATCAGGTTTTAGGAATGAGAAAAGAATTCCCTTAAATTTTTGGTTAGTGTTTGAAATGACTAAGGACTTGTAGGGCTAGGTTGTGGTCCTTAAATGCCATTTCCTCCTGAAGGAAACCAAGACTACTTAAAAATGGCTGATTCCAGTTCTGGGGTAAAAGCTACAATTGGAGCCTAGAATATCTTACACTTTAGAAAGTAAAGAAGACAGGAAACATTATGAGGCATGTGAAAGGACTCAGGAGCTCACTTGAAGAGGCAATAAAATGGTGAGAATTTGATCATGAATAAGAAGAGTAACTATGTTGGACTGGAAAACATCATATTTCCTAACATTTGTGAATTCACAATGGGACATATATATGTGATCAAGTCTTTATATGTAACCTCCAATTTACAGGATTACAAAGACAGTAACATGTCAAACTGCATAACGTGGATCAATTAGTAACATCAATTGTGTGGGGAAAATTAAAGGAAATAAAGCTTAGTTTCTTTCACAAATAAATTGGAGGAGAGAGAGAGAATAAGGAGGAGGAGGAAGAAGAAGGAAAAAGGCAGTGACATTTTAACATATATTGAATAATTTTCTACAAATAGATTCCTAGAAGTTAAATAACTAAGGTAAAGAATACAAATATTTGAATGGTTTCTTTCATAACTTTCAAACTATTTTACAAAAGGGCTATGCAAGATTACAGTATAACAGTGCTTGAAAATTGGCAGCATTGGATGTAATTTTTAGAAATTATTTCTTTTAATTATGATTTCTCCATTTCTTCACTTTCTTCTCCTTGGCTTTTCTCTCTGGATTTTTTTCTCACCTCTCTGCAACTGCTCCTGTGAGTTTCCATAAACTCCATGACATTAACTCCAATAACTGTTTCCATCCCTGTCTGGAATGGCTGCTCCCCAGCAGGACGCACCCTGCGGCTCATGGAAACCTTTTACTCCGTCTTCTTTGGCTTTCCTGAGTCCACACTCTCTTCATTTTCTCTCCCTGTCTGGCAACTGCTCTTCAATCACCTAACCAGTGCCTCTTTGCATGATCCTTAAATGTTGACATTTCTGCCTTCTTCATGTTCATTCTATGAACTCTCCCAGGAGAGTGAATCCACTTCCGTGAGTTTAATTACCAACCATACAGTAACAACTCCAAAATCTAGCCCTGATATTCTTTTTAAGCTCCAGACCATAATCATCATCTATCAACTCAGCATCTCCACTTTGAGGTCTCATAGGAACCTCAAATACACTTTTGAAGAACTGAAACAATACTCTTCCCATGCCACTCAATCTGTTTCTTTTTGGCATTTCCTATGGCAGTAAAAGGAACTATCATTACATGGGTGACATCAAACCAGAAACTTTGAAACTATTAATTATGGAAGGAGGTCTAATGGATGGAAAGCAAAGAAGTCCCAGTGGGCTCTTGGCTCACCTGGTTGCAAACAGGCTTGTACTTGAGCCCTGGCTTGTTCAGGATCATCTCCAGCTGTTTGTGATTGAAATTGGACACCCCGATTGACTTGGTTAAACCGGCATCTTTACACTTCTCCAGGGCCTGGGGAGGAGGGAAATGTGTGGCATATGTTTCATGTAGTTTGGCTCTTTCATTTGACACTGAATGTTCTAAAAATTGGAAGTCTTGGGGCCGGCCCAGTCACGCAGCAACTAAATTTGCATGTTCTACCTTGGCAGCCTGGGGTTCACCCATCCAGATCCTGGGTGCGAACCTACACACCACTTGGCAAGCCATGCTGTGGCAGGTGTCCCACATATAAAGTAGAGGAAGATGGGCATGGACGTTAGCTCAGGGCCAGTCTTCCTCAGCTAAAAAGAGGAGCATTGGCAGCAGATGCCAATTCAGAGCTAATCTTCCTCAAAAAAAATGGAAGTCTTTTTCATATATATCACGATTTGACAGAACATATTTTATTGCTTGTACACATTATTTCCTAATGTCATTTATTGCCATTCACACACACTTTGTCTCCTTGATTCTGTTACATGCATGCTCAGGATGATAAATAGACATGAAGATACTTTTCAATTCCCTTCTCCATCCCCTACCATGAGACTATTTTGCTGTTAGGCATCTAATACTTCCTTAGCAAGTGAAGTCAGAGTCAATGATAAAGAGAAACCCTCATGTTTTCCTAGTTGAGGGTTTGGCTTCTTCCCCTTTCATAGAATGGTTAAAAAAAATGGTAGGAAAGGATATATAAGGGCAGGATTCACATTCCTACTACAGTCCACCCTTCTGCTAAGTCAGAAACAGGTTTCCCTCCCTCCATTGGCCTATTTATGTGTCCTGTGATGGAGCACTAACTCCTCTTGAATTTACTCTGATGATCCTCTTATAGGCCTCCCAGACTCCACATGATAGGTGGGGAAAGAAACTCCTAGAACCACATAAGTTTAGATTAAAAATAACCCTCAGAAGTCATCCTGTTCAGCTCCCTTCCTTTACAGATGAGAAACCATGGTACAGAGAAGTGCAGAGGCAGGGCCAAGGGCAGACAAATGATGGGACAGAACCTATTTTTTCTGACTCTGATCTAGTGATTTCTACCTTGTTGCCCCCCTGGATGTCTTGAGTATCAGTGGCAGTACTTACCTCCCATGTGTCACAAAAGTCCACTGTATCTAAAATAATTTTCCCACCAGCATCCTTTGGCACAAGCTCCTCCCCAGGCTGGAATGCAGAGAGAAGAGAAGATGACAGAGGCTTATTTTTTGAAGAATGACCTTCTCGGTGCCTAAGAAGCTTGGTCACAAATCTTCAAAAGGCTAATTCAAGTGCTTTTATGTGTGTCTGTGTGTGTGTGTGTGCATGTATATGTGCAAGAGAAAACATGGGAGGAAGGAAAATCAGAACTACCTGAGAGACTGTAGAAAAGGGGCTCTCCCCCAATTAACTTCACCCTCTTCTCCACACAAACCCCTGAACTGCACTACAAATGAATTCTCCATAGTTGGAATTGATTTTAATTCCTGGGAACAGGCTAGTGTGGATGACATGACTTACCTTTACTGTGGAGCAATGTGTTTCTGCTCCAGTTTATGATTACCTGACTCAGATATAGTGAGGATACCAGACGTGCTCAGTGAACATCCCCTGTGATGAGAGGTTGGATCAGTGAAGCACAAAGGACCCCAGTTGTGTAACATGGACCATCTCAGGGTACCTCACTCTTGAGTAAGGCTGAGAGATCCATATGAGAGGGCTGCCACCCTAAAGAGGTAGAGATTTACCATTGTATCTCTGCCGTCTATTGTAACTCAACTTTCTTGAGGACCCTAATCACTAACAGACTACAGACAGAAGCATATCATTCAGACATGTTATGTGGTGTCCTCAACTCTTTGAGGTGGATGCAGTGAGAGCATTGAAGTTCAATGCATCTGAAGGCTATGGGATAAGGATAAAGAATCTTGATGGTTAAGTGACACAACTGTCAAAGAGACTCATAAATCACTTAGCAATTCTATCTACTACACTCAAACCTACCTCTCTCAGTAAGAACCCAGAAAACCAGCAATAATGAGACAACAGAAATGCAACAGCTGTGATGAAATAGTCTTGAGATAACAAGGAAAATTAAAAGCCACCTTCATAGCAATAGGCGCATGAATGATGAAGAGATCTACGTAGTCCAGTCGAAGTTTCTTCAGTGATCTTTCCAGAGCTGGTCGAACCAGTTCTGGTCGAAGGAAAGTAGCCCAAAGCTGCAGTGAACAAAGAAATAAAAAATGGCTTATGATTTCCCACATTTGTGGACCCAAATTAAACATCATATTTAAAGGATTGAGAAGTTATAACAAAAATCTGTGGTGGTCTAAAAATAAGAAGCCCAGGGCCTAAACTTACGGGACTTAGTATAAATGGGTTCTTTGATGAGAACTAAGATTTATTTGAGTGACTGTAAGAAAACTGTGAATAATGCTTAGATGGCCCAAGAAAAGCAACCTAAGTGTTTCCAGGATTAGAAAAGACATCTCCAGATGGAGAGTCAAGAAATGTCATGCAAGGGGAAATGGAACCTACTCTCCTGTATATTAAATTCCTGGATAGAGTTCTGTTGAGAGGCCCACATACTAAGAACACATTTTCACCGATGTCTACATAAATAGGATCATTCTGTAGAGACCTGAGCTTTCTTGACATTGGAAGCCAGGTTTTTCACCTCAGAAAATTATACACAGTTTAGTAAACTCACTGCCAACTTTAAAAATATATTTCCAAATCTGGCTCCCTTTTATGATTAAATGTCAGCCTCATTTGTATATGTTCTGAGAGGATCCGCTGAAAGATAATTGAGTGGACGAACTCCACAGTGACTCAGTCAATCCATATAACAGATAAAGAAAAAAAGCGTTATTATTCATGTTTCATATATCAATGCTGACATGTTCATAGAGGTTGAGAAACTGAACCCTAGCCTTAACACATTTCAGGGCAAAGCAAGCCTTTTCTGTTTTTCTATAATGAGCCTCAACAATGTTATGAGATAAATAAATTAGTCAAACCAAGTGAAAAGGTTTTTTTTCTTCAAAATAACATCTGATCTGACAGCAACCTCTTGACACTCTACCCACAGCACCTTGGTGGTGTAGAATATGTCCTCTCTCTTCACAGTGCCATCCCTGATCTTCTCTCGAAGGGCCTCGCCGACCTCCTCCTCATTCTGATAGAGGTACGCTGAGTCAATGTGACGGAAACCCACATCAATAGCCACTTTCGTGGCCGCTCCAGCCATGCTCTTAGGAACCTACAAAATATGAATACAGTGTGCCAGAAATCCACTCGACTCAGAGAGGAGAAATTTATTTCCTTCATAGCATTTTCACCAGGCATTTCTCCATGTCAATTGTTCCCCAGTTTAATAGTGCAAGCCTTGGTAACACACCTGTCCTTGGGGGAAACAGACTAAACTCCTACATGACCTCTAATCTGAGATGAATTCATGAAATAGGCTTCAACCTGGAACATTGAAAATCAAGTCTCAATCAATAAAGGATTCAGTGTAAGGAAGTAACTACCAGGAAACCTTCTGACACTTGGAGGAAACTTCTAAAGATATAGATGTAGATAGATATAGATATACATGTATACAGAGAGAGAGATGATATAGATACAGATGTCAGCAGCTATTTTTGGCTTAGAATTGGGAATGTGTCCACAATACTGTTGCATGCTCCATCCAGTTTCCACCCAACTGAACTCTTGAAGTCATTCGTGATGGTTTAGTTTTTATCCTTATTTCCCCAGATGCTCTCATTCACTATTTATGCAACAAGCACTTATTAAGTGCCTCCTGTGCAACTGATATGCTAGATCCTGAAGCTTTGGGGATTTAACCATTAACAAAAGAAACCTGCTTAAAACCCATAAAAGGAAGCATAGTGGTGAGCTCCTTGACTTTGGTCTGGGCAATCATTTTTGCATTTGACACCAAAAGCAAAGGCAGTCAATGCAAAAACAAACAGTTGGGACTACATCAAAACAAAATTTTCTGCACTGGAAAGGAAACCATCAATGAAATTAAATTTCAACATGTGGAATGTGAGAAAATATTTGCAAATCACATATCTGATATGGAATTAATATCCTAAATATACAAGAAACCCATACAATTTAATAGCAAAAAAAATTAAATAATCCAACTTAAAATTTGGCAAAGAACCTGAATAGACATTTTTCCAAAGACAACATAAATAAAACGGGCACCTACAAAGGTGATCAGCATCACTAATCATCAGAGAAATGCAAAGCAAAACCACAATGTGATGTCACCTCCCACATATTAGGATGACTATTATCAAAAAGACAAGAGATATCAAAGGTTAGCAAGGATGTGTAGAAAGGGGAACTTTTGTGCATTATTGGTGAAAATTTGCATTCTAATTGGTACAGACTCTGAGGAAAACAGTGTGGATGTGCCTCAAGAAATTAAAGATCGAACTACCAAATGATCCAGCAATTCAACTTCTGCGTATTTTTCTATAGGAAATAAAATCATTATCACAAAGAGATATCTGTACTCCCATATTCATTTCAGCATTATTCTCATATCCAAAATATGAAAATAACCTATGTGTCCACTGATGGGTGGATGCATAAAGACTATGTGGTATATATATACAAGGGAATATTATTCAGCTTTGGAAAAGAAGCTAAGCTCGTCCTTTGCAGCCACGTGGATGAAGCTGCAGGATATTATACCAAGTGAAGTAAGCCTGACAAAGAGAGACAAATACTGTATGGTGAAATCTGAAAAAAAATTTGAGTTCATAGAAACAGAGAGAAGAAAAGTGGTGGCCAGGGGCTAGAATTTGGGGGAAAAGGGGAGACTTGGTAAAATAGAACAAACTTTCAGCTATAAAACAAATAAGGTCTGAGGATCTGATGTATCACTTGGTAACTATACTTGATAGCACTGTAGTGTATAATTGAAATTTGTTAAGAGAATAGAATTTACATGTTCTTACCATAAAAAAAATAAATACATGAAGTGATGAATGTGTTAAACTTGACAAGGGAATCTTTTCGAAATGTACCAAATCATCATGGCATACATCTTAATCATCCTAGAATTTTATTTGTCAATGTTACATCAATAAAGCTGACAAAAAAAAAAGAAAATAAAGTGTACCAATTGAATTAAAGGGAGAATTATAGGTAATTTTCAGAAAGTTTTTAAGGAAGGTTAATTGAAAAGTGTACTATCTGGAGTCTTACTGTGATAGACACAGTTGTCTCTCTACCTGTATCTGCTTGGCACTCAACATATCTGTGTGCACTGACCCAGACTTCCAACCATGAGCACCTATAACTCTGCCTGGGGGATTTCCATGACCTCCAGAGTCTTCAGGAGATGTTCTTGATAATTAGGTAAAGAATAGCTCTTGTCTGCTGGATGCTACTTAGCCTCTATACCTGACCACTCCAGTACTTACACTCTGGACCATTGAATTAAATAGCTATGGCGGAAGGGATCAAGACTATGCATGAGCCAACTGCTGGTATACTTCTCACCAAGGCTATTTGAGCTACTATTATTTTGAGATGGGTGACCTCTCAGTAGCAGCAGAGACTGACATTGAATCTTGGTAAAGGACCGTTACTCAAAGAGAGAAGCCAGACCATGGATGGTGAGTTGATTGAACTGTCCATCTAACTGGAGATGGAAGCAGTAATTCATTTTTAATGAGACTGATAGAATGCTCTATACGAGTTGCAATCTCTTTTCAAAGTCCCTCAACCAGCATTACTATGTAAGGGTTACAGAGAGTTGGATTTATCAATATAGGATCCCATGTAACATTGCCTATTTGTTCTATTCTCTGTCATCCTTTTTTGTCTTTAGCACTATTAATAATACGTGGATATAACATAGTAAGAGTTCTATTTTCTGTCATCCTTTTCTGTCTTTAACACTATTAATAATATGTGGATATAACATAGTAAGATATACCCTATGCTTAAGCTGTAATGGTGGATACAATGGAAAATTATGTCATTCCAAACAAACTGATCCTGTGTGATATCTATTAGCTATTGATGTTTCATGTCATAGTTCTACCAAGATGGAGCATATTGATCTCCATCATTTATAGGGGCAATGTCCCCCATGCAACCCAAAGGCTGCCCCTACTTCGCTGTGACTAGATGTTGACACAAGTGCATTGCAGTCGGACATGTGGCTGTGTGAAAAATACATTTGATGAGAAGCACAGTTCTGTCTCCATTGTTACTTTATGCCTCCTAAGTCTTCCTTTCTGATGTTTAATGCTTGGAATAATAGTAGCTTCTGATATGACAAAAGAAAACTTTTGGTAAATTCTTTGGCAAATACTTCTGGCCCCAAGAAGTACAGCAAAGCTGTTACAAAGCTACTACAAAGTAGACATGTTACTTGTCCTTCTCTCCAGTGCCCACTGCCCATCAGGACTTTCTAACAAAGAGCAGAGTGACTGACTGAGGCAGCAGATGAGAGCAGAGGAGCTTCCTGAGCTTAGATTTTACATGTGTATGAAATAAGAATAATAATAGTTTACCTAGGAGATTTGTTGAGGAATTAATGGTAATGAATGGAAATTACTTAAAAAACGTGGTAAGCATAAAATATATGTTAAATAACCCGCTAATAATGATGATAATCCACCCTCACAATAAATAGCCTCTGAATCCTCAGACTGAACCACCTGTAATGCCACTTAGTGCCAAGTTAGAGATGGTGAAATGGAGGCTCTCTCCTATTGACAGGGGTGAGAATTGAGATTCAGAATGTTAAGAAATTTTCGTAAGTCACCCAGATGATAAGGAAGCTATAATCTGATCACAGTTCTGTCTGATTCAGTACTCCATGCTAAACCACAATGATATGGTCTGAGGGTGAGAAATGTAAAGTGATTTTACTTTAAAGTCATAAAATTTTTAAAAAGCAGTGGTTAGAAAGCCATCATCCTTTTTTTTTTCTTTTCCCTGAGGTAGATATGCCCTGAGCTAACATCTGTTGCCATTCCTCCTCTTTTTACTTGAGGAAGATTGCTGCTGAGCTAACATCTGTGCCAATCTTCCTCTATTTTGTATGTAGGATGCTGCCACAGCATGGCTTGATGAGTGGTGTGCAGGTCCACACCCAGGAACCCAAACTGTGAACCTCATGCCGTCAAAGTAGAGTATGCAAAATTAAATTCTAAGCCACCAGGCAGGCTACCCAATCCTGCTCTTTTTTCTTAAGGAGAATTTGCCTTGAGCTGTCATCTGTTTCAATATTCCTCTATTTTGGATGTGGATCATCACCACAGAATGGCTGCTGAAAAGTGTTTTAGGTCCACACCTGAAAATCAAACCTGGGCCACCTAAGGGGAGTATACCGAACTTAAGCACTAGGCCATGGGGCTGGCCACCACATCATCTATTTTGACACTAGATTTAATACATGAATATCTGTGAAGAAAGTTGTACCAATAAGCACCAATAAGCATGATTCATGAAACATCTACTGGTCCTATCAAACAGTTGTCATTTCCAGGGAATCATGGTCACACATATGCACACGTACAACGTACACAACACATTTGAAGCATAGAATACATCTTCTCCCTTCACAGTAGCATCTTCAATTTTTCTTCAGATCACCCATCCAATCTCCCTTTCATTATTGCATGTAAAAGCCTAATCAATTTGGTGGAACCCAGCATCTACATCTAATTTGGTGACCTCCATAGCTTTACCCTTAGGAACCTAGATGAGCAACCAAAGTTATTTGTTGGATACCCATGTGATTGAGAGATAGCTAAGGTACAAACTTTGACCTTCCTAAGAATCAACTTTTCCTCGTGTCTTATGTCAGTTCTCCATGGGTGGTGATGAACACATAGAAGTTTGCCTGGGTCTTTGCTGGTAAGTATTTAAAGTTGGTCATCCCAGGGACCCCTTCAATACCAGGCAATCGCGCTAGCATTGAAGGTCCCTAAGAACACCCTCAGATTCAGCAATTTGCTGAAAGAGCTCACAGGATTAAGCACATGGATGTAGTCATGGATATGATTTGTATTGTGAGAGGTCACTAAGCAAAATCAACAAAAGGAAAAGATCGATGGAACAAAGTCTTAAGAAACAAGGTGAAAGCTTCCTAGAAAACTCTACCAGTGTAGTAACATAGAACATGCTAAATTAAAATTGTATATAAATTTAAAATGTATATATTTAAGATGTACAAAGTGATGTTTTCATAAATTTATACATTGTGAAACGATTAGCACAAATAAGTTAATTAACGTATCCATCACATCACATAATTAACTGTTTTGTGTGTGTGGTGAGAAATTTTGTACTCTTTGACCACCATCTCCTGATTTTGCCTACCACCCTCTCCCCCAGACCCTGGACACCACTTCTCTGATCTCTGCTTCTATGAGTTTGAATTTTTCAGATTATGTAAGTAAGTGGGATCATGCAGTATTTTTCTTTCTGGGTCTGGCTTCTTTCACTTAACACAAGTCATATGGGTCCACCCATGTGGTTGTAAATGGCAGCATTTCCTTCTGTTTTAAGGCTGAACAACATTCTACTGGTTTTCACATATTTGAGAATCTTTATTTGTTCAATGATAACGATAGTAACTGTATACTCGGTCTAACTGAACTCTGCTGGTTATATTCTTTATTTAGGTGGACAGGCATTCAGAGGTTCGTGGAAGCTGAAGCTTCAGTGGTATCCTTGACCCTTCTCTGCCCTTCATTCCACTTTTTACTACAAAGTAAACAAGTCCTGTCATCTATCTCATAACTGTCTCTTTGAACATTTCCTTCTGTTTTATAGTTGAGAAAGTGAGACTCAAAGTTTTAGTACTACTCCTTGTCATGCAACTAAATAGGCTAAAGACAAAATTGGAAAGCAAACTCCTGGCTTCCAGTCTGGTGACTTGCCCACTTGGCTCTCTCTTATGTCTAAAGTCCAACTCTATCTATTTTCTTCAATGAAAAGTTCATTAACATGGACCAGGAATTGAAATCATGCCCTCAAAGATTGTAGCCTATTCTCTCAAATGATATTATATTTTCCATTCACAATAAATTTCCAAGCAGTAGGAAAAGTACAGGGTAAACTACAGGTGGAATATTTATTGTCTGGCACTCAGCAGGCTATCCACAACAGAAGAGTAATGCTCTCCCATCAAATGCCATTCACCTCATCTCCAGGACCATTACTACAAATATTTCTCTGGATCATACATATGTAGTGGGAGGAAAGACTTCTTAAATTCCAGATATTTGGAGAAAGAACTCCCATGCAATCACCCTCAAAGCAAAGCAGCTGATAGTCAGAGTTCTTGACTGCTGAGATTCATCTCTTTTCCAACCTGGCAAATAGATGGAACCTGGAGGAAAACCCACAATAATGAGCAGGTGACCACATGGTCAGACCCCAGTGAGGACTGAACACTGACTACTTTATCTCTTTGTATAAGGAATGGTTCTAGCCTAGTTACAAGAACCAAGTGAGCCTCCCAGATTAACACAGGACCTCAATGACTTGACAATCCAAGTCATCTTCCACTCATGCTCGGTCTATTTTCTTTGTAATCCTCAACCCCAAGAACACTATTGTTACCTCTTCAGGTGCATAGGTGCCAAATCCCAGAACAGGAATGAAGCAGCCATCATTTAGTTCCACACGCCAACATTTGGGATCCATTGCCTGTTGCTCCTCTGTCTAAGCAGACTCTATTTTATTCTTCTGCTTCACAGGTTATGTGAATAACAGGAAGACAACACCCACATCCATTGTCCAACCGTTATCAAATGGATTGTAGGAGGAGCAAGATTAAAGCAGTTACCCATGGAGCATGTAGAGAAAGCAAATGAGTTAACTGTTTATATGATTTTTATTAAAGAGAAAACTTAATGAATTACTATATAGTGATAAATAAAGCATTAATTTCTTGCACAAGTAAGCTTTTTATTTAGTATCCACATACACTAGTAAATTATTACAAGAGATTTGCTGAACAATTATTAAACAAGAGTTAAACCAGAAAACTCCAGATACCAATCTCTTCTTTGTTTTTTGCCATGATGAAGCCACTTCTTGATCATGCATCATTTGACACAATTAACTATCTTACACACACACACACCCACACACACAATTTAGAGGAATGATTAATGAACAGTTTTCAAAACTTGACCCTCAATAAAGAATTAAAACTTCAGATTGAAAGAAAAATAGCCTCTTTACCTTTCCCAACAGCAAAATGATTTTTATTTCCCTTCTTTTATTTATTAAGAGAATATTCAGTCCTAACAAGGATGCAATCCTGAAAAGGGTGCCAAACAAAGACATTCTGTCAAGGTGGTCCTTGGATTATTAATTATTAACTATTGTTGGATGTCATTTTCTGTATGTAAACAGAAGCTTAGAGTGTTTATACCTTTCACACAGTTATATAACTTTTAGAAAACTATCAAGATGCAGCTTTCAAAAACCTGTTGAACATTTTACGTAATTTATTATCATACTCAACAGTACTCCTGAAAGAGAAAACTGGAGACAATTTAACTTACAATAAATTAGGGAAGAGTTAGGGAAATTAAGCTGCATTGATGAAATCAATTATGAAGCCATTTAAAACTAAACACATAGAGTGATGCCTGCAACATGTTGGACTGGGAAGCTCTGAGTTCTCCCATGGAAACCTAAAGAAACAACCAGAAACTAGCTGAAATAACCTTATAAGAGCTCTGGAAAACAGTCAAACAAAGATCTATAGCAACAAATTGAATATCCAGTAGGAAAAAGCCAGATTCAAAGTGGTAGGAGATTTCATGTCTTTACTCACACTTGCCCTGACACCTATCTGGTACACTGAAAGAATAGTCTATAAGAGGGGTCACCCCAGTTCCCTGTTACCTGTCTCAAACCAGAACTATCAGAGATGATCTTATTTTCAATGTTGTAACCCAACTGGAGGCTGTCTAAAAGACTGCCATCTGTTTCATCTAACTCTAAGCTTGAACTGAAAAGCAGCTAGAATGGCTCATAGCAGCTTCAGGGGAAATATAGGTGTACTGAGATCAGGGGCAAATTAAGAGTGAAGGCATGCAATATATCATATAAAGCCCTAAGGAGAAGCTTGGATGTGAATTTTAGGGATATTAAGGAATTCAAAAAGCAGCCATGTATTCAGGGGAGTTAAAAAAGCCACACACAACCCAGGCAAGATGCATACTCATAAAGAACTAAATAGACCTTCAGCTTTCATGTTGGGCTGATCCCAAGACTAACAGCATGCCAAGTTAATAAGTGAAGGATTATCAGGACAGGGAACAAATCTACAAAGAGAGGGATAGGTAGTTGTTGTTCCAAATCCCAATTAAACAAACACAAAACATACAAAAAAAAAATGAATACACAATTCATTAAAAAGAAGAAAATAAATTGGCAGAAACTGTTCCTGAACAAGCACAGGTATCGGACTTAGAAGACAAAGAGTTTTAAAACAAGTGTTTTAAATATGCTGAAATTGTGAAAAGAAATATTTGACAGAGAATTAAAGGAAATCAGGTAAATCATATATGAATAAAATGATAATATTATAAAAGATATAGAAATTATGGAGCATAAGGAACAGAAAGAAAAAATGCAGAAATGTGAACAGACCCTAAAGGACTTATAGGAGACCATCATGTAGAGTAATATACATATTATCAGAGTCCCAGAAGGAGAAGAGAGAGAGAATGGCAGAGAGACTCTTTAAGGAAATAATGAACAAAAACACCCCAAACCGGATGTAAGAGCTGAATGATCAACAAATCCAAGAAACTCAAATAATTCCAGCAGGATAAACTCAAAGATATCCACACCCACATACATTATGTTCAAACTGTTGAAAAACAAAGAGATTCTCTTGGAACAGGTAAGAAAACATGACTCATGAAGTACAAGGGATCCTGGATAAGACTATCAATAGATTTCTGATCAGAAACCTTGGATGACATAAGGCAGTGGGATAATACATTAAAGTGCTGAAAAAAAACCTGTCTACCAAGAATTCTGTATGAAGTAAAAATGTCCTTCAAAAGTGAGGGAGTAATTAAGACAATCTCAGATAATCAAAAGCCAGAAGAGTTTATTACCATTAAAACTGTGATAAATATAAATGGAATATTCAGGTTCAAATGAAAGAACAATAGCCAGTAACTCAAAGCCATATGAACATGTAAAGACCTCCAGTAAAGATAAATATATGTGCCAAGGTAAAATAATGTACTTTTGTTAATTTTGTTTGTATCTCTACTTTTTCTTTTCTACAAGGTTTAAAAGATGAATGTATAAAAATAATTATGCATCTATGTTAATATGTACACCAGGTATAAAGATGAAATTACTGACATCAGTAACATTAATAGGGAGAGGGGAACAGAAATGCAGTCGTTGGACTTTGTAGACAAAGAATTTGAAAACAACTATCTTATGTATGCTGAAATTTCTGTAGGAAAAACTTGAGAAAGAACTAAAGGAAACCAGGTAAATCACATATGAATAAAATGACAATATCAAAAGTAATCTAGAAAGTATGGAGTCTAAGGCACAGAAAGAAAAAATAAGGAAATGTTAACAAACTCTAAAGCACTTAGAGGACATCATCATGTGGTCTAATATACACATAATCAGAGCCCAGAAGGAGAGGAGAGAGAGTGGAACAGAGAGATTATCTGAAGAAATAATGAACAACAACTCTCCAAACTGAATTTAAGACCTGACTAATAAAGAAATCCAAGAAACTCAAAGAATTTCAGATAGGATAAACTCAAAGATATCCACACCCACATATAGTATCTTTAAACTGTTGAAAAACAAAGACAAGAGACTATCGTGAGGGCAGCAAAGGAAGCATGATCCATTAGGTGCAACGGATCCTGAATAAGACTATCAAAAGATTTCTCATCAGAAACCTTGGATGCCATAAAGCAGTATGATGATATATTTCAAGTACTGAAAGAAAAAACTGTAAATCAAGAATTCTACATCAGGTAAAAATGTCCTTTAAAAATGAAAGTGATTAAGATAATCTCAGATAAACAAAAGCTGAAAGAATTCATTAGCACTAGAACAGACTTACAAGAAATGTAAAAGGAGACATTCAGGTTCAATGAAAGGACAATGGAAAGTAACTCAAGGCCATATGAAGATATGAAGACCTCTGGAAAAGGTAACTATATGGGGAAGTATAAAATCATGTACTTTTGTAATTTTGGTTTATAACTCTACATTTTCATTTTTACAAGATTTAAAACATGAATGTATAAAAATCATTATGCATCTATGTTAATATGTACACAATGTATAAAGATGAAATTAGTGGCATCAATATCATTAGTTGGGACAGGGGAACAGAGCTGTACAGGAGTAGAGTTTTTGTATGGCATTGCAGCTAAATTCGTATCAATCAAAAATAGATTTTGACAAGATTACAAAGCTATCTGTAATCCCCATGGCAACCACAGAGAATATAACAGTAGAATGTACACAACTGAAAATGAGAAGAATATCAAAGTACATCATCTAAACACAGATCATGTACACAAACAAATGGAGGAAAATATAGAAAAAAAAAATGTCAGTCTTTCCTGATCTGTGATTCCTATAAATTTTAAAACTCCCCATATCAAAAGATATAGATTGATAGAATAAATTTACAAAAAACAGGATCAAGCATATGTTTTCTATAAGAGACTCACTTTGGACCTAAGGACACAAATATTTTCAAAGGAAAAGTTGGTAAAAGATATTCTGTGTTTATACTAACAAAAAGAGTCCTGACATGACTATACCAGTAACAGACAAAAAATAATTTTAAGACAAAAATTGTGACAAGAGGCAAAAAGGATATTATATATTGACAAAAGTGTCAATCCACTAAGAATATAGAATAATTATAAACATATATGTACCTAACATCAGAGCCCCCAAATATATGAAAACTACATTGACAGAATTGAAGTAAAAAATAGATACCACTACAAAACTAGTTGAAAAATTCAATACCTCACTTTCAATAATTGATAAAACAAACCAACAGAAGATAAATAAGGAAACAGAAAAGAGAGTACTTTGGACAATTATATGTCAACAAATTGAGAAATGCTGACGAAATGGAAAAATCCTAGAATACATACCCAAAAAAGACTGAATCATCAATGAATATGAAACCTGGGTAGATCCATAACAATTAAGTAGATTAAATCAGTAATTAAAAACCTCCCCCAAAGAAAAGCCAAGGACCACATTACTCCACTAGTGAATTCCACCAAGCCTTTAAAGCAGAATTAACAATAATCATTCCTGACTCTTGCAAAAATTTGAAGAGAGGAAGAACAGTATCTAACTCATTCTATGATACCAGCATTACCCTGATACAAAGCCAGACAAGAATACTCCAATAAAATAAAATAAAGACAATTATTCTATATGTTTAAGAATTTAAAATTCTCAAAAAATATACTAGGAAACTGAATTCAGCAGCATACTAAAAATTTTGTGCCATGACCAAGTGGCATTCATTCCTGGTATACAAGGATGTTCAACATACAAAAATGAGTAAATGAAACAAACCAAATTAACAGGATGGAGGAAAAACTACACAGTCATCTCAGTTGATGTGGAAAAAGCAATTTAAAGAACTCAACACACAGTCATGAGAAAAAAAAAAAAAACACTCAACAAACTAGAAAGAGAAAGAATCTTCCTCAACATAATGAAGTATATACATGAAAAACCCGCAAAGAATATACTCAACAGTAAAAGAATGGAAGCATTTCCCATT